TGCGAGAACGCGGTTTTTTGCACTTTTTAAATATACTGACTTGTGCAGACCTTTGAGTGTATTATGGGGAACCTCGCTATCCGGTAGCAACGGGGATTTATATATATATTAATGTTCATGAACTGCACACTAGAGAGAACAACCAATTTCGAATCCCTTCCAAAAAATGTCCTGAAAAACATATCGAACCATTTTGGGCACCACGACCTTGGGCACGCGGTGGCACTGCGCAGGCCGCACGGGACCCGCAACCATGTCCGTGTGCCCTGGTGGAAGACGGTTGATCAGAGCTCGGTGTGCAGTTCCGAGTTCCATAGAAAAATTGATGCATGGAATATAACCTATGATAGTGAACCCCTAACAGATGGACTAGTGACTATAGTGGAACCAATTGTTGTGTATTTGTGGTGATCTTGGGGGTGGTGAGAAGTTGGTTCGACTGGTGTTGGTCTACGTGGTGACGGTGGTTCGACTGGTGTGTTTGTATCGGCATGACTGCTGCCCATGGCACAACCGGTGATTCGCGAAAACCAAACCAACCAGTAATGGCACAACCGGTGAAGAAGAACAGCACCGGTTGCGCTTAAGCTTTGGTGATGGGTTATTGGGCTAATAACCTCACTGGCGCCCACAATACCAGCATCACCTGCACAAAAAGTGTATTACAATGATACAATTTGTCGGCTGTTACTGGTGTTCAGACCCTCTTTTTGGCAAACTCAATCCTGCCACGGTTGAAGGCAGTGCAGGATTTTCTTCATCAACAGCACATGTCATGTACAAACCATGACAAATCTTTCAAGACTACATCCAAACGGCACGACTTTCAACACCACTGGTGTGGCAAAGGATCTTCCAAAAATCCATCCCAATGTCCATACACCTTCCTTGCAGATGTAGACCTTGCAGGTGTAGAGGTCCCACTGCGCAAAATCCGTCACCATCTCAGGTCCTCCTCCCAGTTTCGAGGCATGTGAATGGATGAGAGAGAGCATCCAGCGATGCCGAGAGAGCCGGTGCGTTTGTTTTGAGAGCACGGACAGATGCATGCATTAGTTTCATGGTGTTTGATCTAGGTTTGGGAAGCCTCATCTTTGAGACACCTAAAGAAACCCGGGGTGTGTTGCTAGAATGACAGGGTCAATCATGAGGCAAACCGCAGGAGGCAAACTAGATTTTACCAGCGGTTTCTTCGGTGAGAGACGTGCACTTCTCAGCAACAAACATGGCCACTGCGAGGTTTGCAACGTTCGCTTTGGCGAGATCCGGAATCAACAAAGTCGATTCGGTCGATCCGAAATCCGAAAGTCTGTTGTTCTTTTGATATATGTGTTTTTGATCAATTTACTGAGTGTTCCAAGGTGTTTGAAGGGACTCATGGCTAACAATCTCTAACCATTTTGGTGTTCCTGCTTGGTACCAACCCGCCAGCCTTCAGTTTGCACACCTCCGGTGTTTTTTTTCCAGCCCATTGCTTTGCCATGTTTGGCCCATGGGTCTTCGGTGCGGCACTCGAGTCTCGGAGAGAGCCGTCTTTTCAAAGAGCCCTCCACTCGTCGCCTGAGAGCCCACCTCGTCACAGGGCGCCATACGGCGCCCGGTTCCAGGCCGAAGACTTGCAGCTCTTGGAGGAGGCGACAGGAAAGAGACATTCGACCGACCGCTGTTCGGGGCCGGTTCGAGTGTTTCGATCGGTTCGGACGAACGATTTTCGGACGGATTGGTTTGGGGCGCAGCTTTCCGCGATGCGCAAGCTTTCTGCGATGCGAAGCATGTGGGGTAAAGGTTCCTGCTTTTGAGCTTGGGCTGTTAACAACAAGCAGAATTGCTCAACCAAGGAAACTATTTATTGGATATCACAAAAAGCTCTCGGTTTGGCGGCGTTGGAGTTGATAGCTTCCACACTTCGGTCACCTTCCTGTTGCATCCTTTTGCGGGTTTGTTTGATCGTGGTTGGATGAAGCAAGATTAGATTCAGTTGCAGAAGCTATTTATATAACTAACTATAGTTATAGTCATTAGGATACAAAGTGTGAACAATGATGCCACGTACTTGATGTGGAAAAACTATCCTTTTACGGATGGATTGGGTGGCCAAACTGCAAGTCCAGCTGCAGCTCCAGCACGCAACAGCTCCCCTTTTTCGTACGCACCCAACTACGGCCACCCATGACTGGCGAACTCCGCCAAGCAGTGGCTGAGAACTGGCTTAAGCGGCTTAAGTGATGTAGGTAACACATAGCTAAACTATGCACATCAAAATCATAAAAGGTGGTCCTTGGAATGTGCTGCATGATTCGAATTTGTTGAGATAGATAGGGTGTTGTGCCCAAAAGCGTGCGCCCTGCCGCGTGGACAGCGCAGGTGGTGCAGAGATCCTTGGACTTGGCAAAAGCCAGGCGAAGCGTCCGGAGCGCAGCGGAAAATCATGTTCCGAAGCCTTCTGAAGGTACCTTTGGGGTGGCTGAAACAAATTGCTTAAGGCAAGTGTTACCAGTAGAACACATGTGGAGCCCTCTAACAGCTGTCGAATGTTGTGGAACAAATTCAATGTCGTCTTATTCTTTTTCCCGAGTTGATCTGGGGTCTGGCGTGTGAACCTTGTTTAGAGTCGGGATTTAGGCCTAACAATTCAGATTGAGAGTATATCGAGGACACGTGACATCTACGAACTGACACAAATATCGTGCAGGTGTCAAACACTCCACCTTTTAATCAGTACACTTTCAGTGTGCCAAAAGCGTTTCCCCCAAACCCGGCCGAATTTGACACCCCGGAAACAGGGGTCTCCCTCTTAAATTCCACACCCAGATCTGATTTCGTCCATCCAACGAGGCACTTCGAGGAGGCGGAGCAATGCCTGGCGGTCCTGGCACGTGAGGGGCCTCGGTGCGGACGACCGGTGTGGTGGGCGAGGCGTGTCTGTCGGGGTGGGAGAGATGGGTTTCATCTCAGATCGGGCGGCGTAGGGGAAAAGCATGCAAAAACATGCAAAAGCTCAGCGGTTGGGTCACTCTTTTGAAGTCATCAAGAAGATCTGAGGGCCACATCGCGTTAGAAAAGAGCGAGTCATGGGCAAATAGAAGTGTTTTTTTTGGCTGGGGAATATTATCATGTTTGTCATGGGAGATGCACTTCAGCGGCATGACAGCTCTTTGAGAAAATGTTCAGCAGCTTGCCCAACCTCGAATCAGAGTCTATCCTGGTAGACAGTTGATGAATAGCTGATGAACAAAACCACCCTTCCAGATCTTCCAGTGGCTTCCAGATGTTGTTTTACATCTTGAACCCATATGAGAAGTTGGAGGGCCACATCTTCCAACCATCTTCCATGCCATGTCTTCTACTTCTCATAGTCTTTGCATCACTCGTACCGAGCCCGTCGGGAACCCCGACTGAGGGGATCACCCCGAGTTCGCCAGCTCTCGGGAAATGCTGGCCGCCCAGAAGGTGCGTCCACCAACACCAGGGGAGATGGGCCGGTCAGGGGGGGAGATGGGGCGAAGGGAAGAACGACCAGGGAACCCTGTTTGAAGACATTTGTCAACATGTTGTTTGGGGTTGCAGATGATGAATGAGAATGTTGACTGCTGGTTCAAAAACACCCTGAAGATTCTAAGATAAGATGTTTGATTATCTATCTCGAGCTGGGTTATTTATCAATAATCAACACTTGACTACACGGTTCGCCGTTACGAAGTCTGCTTCCTTCAAGAGAAAATAACAAGTCACTCGACCCGGAGACCGACCAGAGGAAAAATACTACAGGATGAAGTAAAGGGGTTCCAGATGAGGGAGGTCCAAGCCTTTGAGGTTGGCATCCACACATTTATCAACCTCTTCAACGTTGGTGAATGATCCGTTTTTCTTCTACGAACCCTGTCGGGGCCGGGCATATATGAGCGTGGAGGTATCTCAAGGAACCGGTTAAGATGGACCCCACAATCACGGGTTTAAGACTGATCTATGTCCAAAAACTCCGCAGTTCAACCCTGATTTCGGTAGGGAAACCAATCCGCAGACAAGCTTAAAGGATGTTGTTCATACCGATTGGCAGGTCTTGGCCGTTGTTTCAAGACATGTCTATGACGACGTCAGACGCCGCTTCTTGCGATGCCAGACTGTGGCGATGTGCAAACAGTTCAACGACAGCTGATGCCGCCACGAAGTTTGGCTGAATCCGTCTCAACTCGAAACGCGTTTCAAAAGAGGAAAATGGATGAAAATGGTCACTCTGTTTCGGAGCCTGGGTCATGAGCTGATTGGATGGAATGGTTGAAGGAACATGATGGACATACAGGGAGGGGAAGAAGATGGAAGAAGTAAAACAGCACCTTAACTGCAAGCTTAAGTTTCAACGCGCGGGTGACGTTCTATCCCCTTAGATGCTGTTTGCATCTATTCGCTGTTAGCATCTATGAGCATGAAAGCATGAATCGAAGGGCCGATCCTCTCACCACACAAGACGGCTTCAGTGTGAGGTGTCCTGAAAATAATTCGTGGACCCAAATACCTGAATTTTCAGCACAACGGCAGGGTTCAAGTGCAGTCACGTCGTACCTAGTTTAAGTGCACCAAGGCTGATTGTTTTGAGTATTGCTGCGTGATACTGCATGCACGGATTGTTTTGCGGAGCAAGCTGTTTGTATCGGGGCATGGGAGAACTCTTCTTCAGTCTCACAGGAATTACAGGAACTCTTCCATCTCGTTGGATTTTGTCACTAGTTGCCGTGTTCTACACCTGCTGAGGGACAGTTCCATGTACAGCGAAAGCAACCTCCGTTCCTTAGGAATTCTTAGGACCCCTTTTGCAGGGCTTGCTTTCAGCTGAGAGTGGTTCTGCCATAACAATTGCTATCCTCGTATCAGAAAGAGTCCGACTGAAGACTCGATTTATGACACTGGGAGAGCACAGAGCAGCACTTTTTTTGGTTTAGGGGCACCCACCCATCCACTAGAAGAGCACTAAGACTTCAAGAGAAACAATCCACAGCGAAGCAATGCGAAGCACGCCGAACGATCCCGCGTGCATGCCAAACTTGTTCGCTGTGGCCATGCCATGGTGACCATAGACGCCTTGTTCTTCGTTGGTTTACAGTACTATGTTTGGTAGTGCAAGATAAGATGTGCCCTGTTTGCACGAAGGGGTCGGAGGACACTGGGAGGGGATCGATCGATACTATGTCTTTGAAGTTCATGTACTTTGCGTAATGCATGCCCATTTAGATTTTCCACCCACGGCCACACATGGAACAACAGAAAAACATCAATGGCTTGGTGCTGTGCACTCACTGGTTCAGTTTTATGGCTCATCAGTGTTCTAATGCCCAAAGGGGCCCAAAGACACGAAAAAACGATCGGTTTTTAACCTTGCTCAGGTCGTTGGGAGTAAGTCAAGACCAAGATGACCAAGCTACGATGAAGACTACCGAACCTTTCATGCTTCCCTTCGAGAGACGCCACACATCTCACAACTGTGCCATGTCCATGTCCCAAAAGTATTTCCCAAGAAGTCTGACAACGCCACCAAAAAGGTAGTGAATCACCCCCCTGCACTTCCCGATGCGGAAAAAGACTTGGAGCCCGACCAGTCCACCAATGTAGCGAGCCCTTCGGTTCGGCCAACTGGTCGGTCAAACCCAACCCTTCAGCCAGAGAGCTTCAAGGGATGTATGCGGGGACCCCCCTCCAGACGAGTCCGCGCGTTGTCACCGGTGGGTCACCCAGCTCCGCTGCTCGTCGCTCGCAGGGTCTCCCCGCCGAGCTCCTCGCGCGGCGTGGCGCCGCCCAGCGCCTCGCCGCCGAGGCGGGCACGCTTCGAGGATGAGGCGTGCGTGGGAGGTGACCGGTGGGAAATGGCAGTCGAGGCGAAAGGGGGAGCTAGTGAAAAGCGGTAAGCAACTAATGTAATCATTGTATGTACATCTATTCAGGAAGGCAAAGCTTTGTAGACTCTATCATGAAAAATCTGAAGTCTTGTGGTAATCAGTCAGACTTAGTAGATCAAATAGATTTGGCTTTGTTTGGCTGTTGTCTTGGTGTTGTTTCAGTTGTTCCAAGTGTCCAAAGTGCCAACACATGTTGTTTGGCGGGTGGAGTGAGAGATTGAGGTGGAGTCAGATCGTTTATACCACTATCCATGTTGTTTTCAATCGTTTTTGGAGGTTTCGGTGGAGCTTTGGGTCATTCACCCTATCATAGTAATTGATGACACAACTCCTTCGTAACTAAATATAACTGCATGATGATTCAAACTTTCTTCAGGCCCTCCCGTAGATGTGCATCCGTCGTTCTGGGGGTGGGTGGTCTTGGGTCGGCAACCAACCACCGTCCCCCCCCGAGTCCAAACCGAGTCCGCTGCTCGGCTCCGCTCGGCAGCTCCGCGCCCGCTGAGGATCGTGGGCGGGTGGGCTCCTTGGACGCACGGGAGTCTTCCCGGACGCGGATCTCTTCCAGGCACGGCGTGCGGCGTGCGTCGGCGGGCGGTCCCACAAAGCGAGGTGTGACATGAGGTGGCTTGAGGGGTGAAAGAACAGAGAAGGAGGCGAAGGAGTCGATATTCAGAATCTCAGGTTGGAATTGAGATGAATTTGTCCATATTTGTCCCATCTCTGAAGTGATGGAGGATGTCGGAGGTGGTGATAGAGATAAATGTGTGAAGCAGCATTTGCTGCCAAGGGCCGAGGCTCGAAGTAGATGGAATGAATCGTGTGACCGTCTCCAACCTCGCCCTTCGGTGCGCACCGAACCGCCGAACCGATCGAAACCGTCCACCGGACCAGACCGGTACACCGAGAAGCTCGGTGGTCCGGTTGGTCCGGTTGTTTGGGTGAATTGGTCAGCCATGAAAACGGACCAGTGAAATCGTCACTGAACGGAACGGACCAGTGAAATCGTGACATCTCATGGCGTTGAACTCTTCCTGATCATGTTCTTTTCTGGAGTGTACTGGTCGTGTACCTAATCACCCGCCCAGATCCCTGAGAAACCATATGTAAATATATATATATATATGTATGTGCGACGTTTCTTTTCTTTTTGTTGTTCTCTTTTCGGTGCGTGGGTGCTTCATCGTTTTGAAGCCTAGGGGAAGCTAAGTGCCTTAAACTGCGCGACCTGGTGGGTGTAGATGGAGATTTGTTCCGACAAACACCAAGTGGAATGGACAATCCCACTCCCACCCGCCCACCCAAACGTTCTACATACTTGGGTGAGAACCCCAAATTCACCATCTACAGTGAAATCCGTTCGCACCTGTCTACATTCCAGGGTTCACCAGTCAGTTCAACTGAAGCCTTTTGTCTGTTCAACATCTCTTCCCCTTTGGGTGAAAACAGCAAATCTTTGGATTCTAGTTTTGGAACACCATCTACATATATATATATATAATGCAAACATCTCAAAACTGCTTGCACAAACACTAGCCTCTACCACTACAAAGGTCAGTTTCAACTTGAGTTGAGCTACAGGTTTCCTGAAAGGTACACAGCTTTGGAAGTGTTTGAAGATTTGTTCATGGATGGCTTCTGGGCCACCTGGTCATTTTCTATGTGTCCTTAGCTGAGGCGAATGTCTTTGGGTCCATTTCCCGGCCAGGCCTCCGGACGACAGCCGCGCGCGGAAGCTCTCAGTGACGGCGCCGCGGAGACTGCTCTCGTCTTCAGGTCGGAAGGTGAAGTGGTTTCGGGGAGGGACCAAACCTACTGGTGTTCATGTATTTTCATGTAAATGCTTGCCTTCTTGAATGGAAACACTCCATTTGAGTTGAAACCTCTTGAGATTCATCAGATGGCTTGGGCTTGGGGCTGTGGTTCAAAGCAAAACGCTGCGTCCAGAAAAGAACAAAATCCAAGAATTTTCAACCACGATGTTGTTGGTATTGGAAAACAATATTAACCTCACACGAAGCAAAACACATCTCAAATGGTCTTTGGTTACACAAACAGTTTTGTATCACGTCTCCCCTTTTGGGGTTTGAAATCAGGCTGGGAAATCACTCACGTCCACTGCGAATAGTTAATGTCAATCAGACAATCAGTTGGTTTTCTATATGATGACATGTCAGGAAACTAGTCGGTCAGTCGGTCCAAGTGGGACGGGCCACGCGGTGAGACCGAGACACACTCTGTATTGGAAGAACAGGAGGGCTCCCCTCTGGCCTGTGGGGCTTGAGTCCATGTTTCCTTTGATACAGGGTCAAACTGGAGGTCTCTTATTTCAATACACATCCAGAGGCTCCAGGCAATTTTAGGAAGCGGTGCCCAGACTCTCTGGACACCAGGCAGGGATTAGCATTGAAGGGACACAGAGTTTCTGCTGCGTGTTTTGAAGGGATCCTTTTAAGATTGAGGACAAACGAGTGCTCGTGCCTTCGACTGGAGACAGGGCAATTCAGCTAAATGAGGACACACCAATAAATGCCCTGACCTGTCAGGGCCTTCAGTTGACCACCCAAAACTCTCTGAGTCTGCAATTGCCCGTCATTTTCCGCATTCATTCAGCGCTGCATGCGACCTTCGTCATGTGACGAACCATCCCAGAGGCAGCCTTGATCTCAGTCCCAGAAGCAGCGAGGCAGCCGGGCGGAACCGTCGTTGCCGAACGGCAGGGACTCCTTTCGGATAGGCCGCTGCGGGGCGAAGAACGCCGCACCCAATTCTTGACCGGGGAGCAGCGATCAGCTGTTTGCAGGTCCTTTTATACATGGCTCTGAGTGGATGGCATGCTGTGAGGTTTCGGCCATGTGTGGGGTATGGATGCAAGCTGTATAAGTCTGCAGTGACAGCTAAAGCCACACAACCTTTCCATATCTTTCCATAGGTGTTTCGATCGTGCATCGTTTGATTCCGGAAAGTACACACCCAAGTGTGGTTGATGTTGAATGCCCAAACGATCAAATTGATTTTAAAAGGTATCATTTCATGGATCATGTCACAAACACCGGATCAAAAGGCTCGATCAGAGCGTGTTTATGATTTTTACAACTACACAAATCAATATAATGCACGACTATCAATAGTTCTCGAAACCAAAGTTACAAGACTTGCCTGTATATTAGAGAAGACTTGCCTATACAATAAATACGCATGAGTGTTTGGATTGGGAGGAAAGTGGAGAAACTGGACACGGGTATTTTTTGTTCTCGCTCTCTCTCTCTCTCTCACTCTTGTCACGAAAGCTAGCGAAGCTAGCTGGAGTTACTCTTGCGATAGCAAGGTTTCTTTCGATCGGGTGCAAATCCTAACCCCTGATTTTTCAGGTCGAAGCCCCCCCCCTCTCTCTCTCTCTCTCTCTCATCTCTCTCTCATCTCTCTTTTCGCTCTCTCTCTCTCTCTCTCTCTCCTCTCTGTTTCTCGTCTTTCCGTCTCTCTTCTCTCTCTTCTCTCGCAGGAGGATCCGGGCAAAGAGCCACATATAAAGGACTCTTCACTTGGGAGTGTAGCTCCATTGGTCGGTCGGAGCCGCATCACCTCCAACTTGAGATCCTTGAAGTGGAAGACGACGGACAGCAGATCGCACCTAAGACGACCGTTGGTCCGGGTTGAGGTGCACACGAGGTGGCTGAAACTGTCTTCCTCCCACCTTCCCTCCCTCCTCCCTCTTCGCAAGTTCGACTCCGTCCTGTCGTCGCTCTTTGGCATGCGGTTAGCGTTGCGTATCTTGCGGCCGCACTCGCTCATTCTCACTCTCACTGTCTCACTGTCTCACTGTCTCTCTC